AGAAAATTTCTCAAAAAATTTTCAGAAATACAAACCAAACGAACCCATTGTTTGAAAAGTTGTTAATAATTATTTTTTTATGAATGAAAAAGTTAATTTGACATTTAAATTTCTTAACTAACCACAAACAGTTCAATGGCTTTGCCTCCATCTGGGTTGTGGATTGATTTTTTGGTTATTTAAATTTGGGATTAAAAAGTTTCGTTTGTAATAAAAAAAATTTAGTTTTTTTGACTTTTGTGAGAAAAAAAATGAAATTATTATAGTTTAGATATGACATTTTATCTTATTAATTTTTTAACTTATTTTATCTTTTTGTGAGTAAAATAGCCAAAATAACCCATGCGAAAGATAGCCTTCATGGATTTTTTTGATCAAAAGTTAACTTTTTTTATGCATTATTCTAATTAATTATATGGTTGGGTTTTTATATGACAAAAACAAAAAGTGAAAATAATAAGGTCCAAAAAAATCTCTTAATAAATCATATCGTAAATGTTAGAAAGTTGGTAAAAAATTAATTTTTTAATTTTTTTTTGGGGTAACTTTTTGACTTTTTTGTGCTAAAAAACTAGTTTCTTTGTAACTTTTTTTTTATGACTTTCTTGGTTTAAAAAAAAAATTTAAAAAGTCAAAAAACACTAACTTTTTAATATGTACCTAAAACACCCCTATCATATCTTAACTAACGACCATAAAATCTTATAATTTCACTTTTATTTGTGAGACATGCCTTCTTCCTATTTGACACCACAAAAATTCAATAATAACATCACAAAATTTCATGACTGACTTGCAAAATATTACAATATCCTTGTTTGTTTGGCTTTTTATGGAAAAGATAAGGAGAGAGGGAAACAGACTGCAATTATTCCCCATCCACAAAATATAAACCGAAAAAGTGTAGGGGTTTGGCCTTACCGAGTCGATTGTCAACTTCCTCTTTCAGCCCTTGCTTTTTAATCAACCAATTATGGTGCTTTGGTGGACCACAAACTAAAGATTGAGTAACGCTTTTAAATACTGTTTTGTTTTGAGTGTAAGCCAAGATAGTTATATATATATATATTGACTTAAAAAGGGGAAAAAAATAATTTATAAATATATATATATATATATATAATTATGTGGTAGTAATATTTTGTAATTTTAACCATCTACAAATTCCAGTTCCATTCCATTTATTAAACTAATAGATAAATTTTTTGCAATACATGTGGTATTTTTCTGTTAGTTCACTTAGGTTATATATTTAAATGGGACATTTACACATAAATTATAATTTATGAATTTATATTCTTTTAAGTCTTAATTAAGATTTTTTAAACTTTCGAGTCCCATTAAGTTTTTAATAGTCAAAATTGCCGTTCAAATAATGATTATTCATCATTTATGATTATCTATGAAGAAACATGATAATTTGACATTTATTTTGATTTTCAAAATCAACTTTCAAATTGAAAAAATTAAAAAACAATTATGTAAAAAAAAATTTTAAAAATTGAATTATTTTTTGTGCAAAACTAAAAATTTTATGTCTATAAAGGAGCATGATAATGGAACATTGATGTGCAAAACTGGGGGAAAAAATTTTAAAAATAAAAAAAACTGATAATATTCTCAGTTTTAAAACTAAAAAAAAATGTTAATATTCTCAGTTTTATTAGATAGTTGAATCAAACCAATAAATAAAAGAGCAACAACGTTTAATCCCATGCTCTGTTTTTTCATCCGTTAATGAAACAATTATTTAGAACATTACTATGCAAAATTGATAATTTTCTTAATTTTAAAAATTAAAAAAAATTGATAATATTCTCAGTTTTACTAAATAAGACTTATTAATTTAAAAAATCTTAAATAAGACCTGAGCCACCATAACATTTGTAAATAAGATTTTTAAGTAATTAACTCTATTTAAATTTTAATAGAAATTTAAAATGATAAGAGAGAAAAAAAAAAATTAGGTAAAATATAAATAAATATATTCCATTCACATTTTACTCACATTTTTTTTTCTTCCCTTCTAATTCCTAGCCAAATTCATAATAAAAAAGAACACCTTACCTTACTACTATCCTAACCATTCATATCATATCTATGCAGCTCACTACATTCCATCAGCCCCTGCCTGCCTCCCTTCCGTCCTTACTTTTTTCTCGTTTACAAGGAGCACCTCTCCCATGGCAACCCAGTCAATGAAAACAAATAACCAAGACAGCCATTGCAAAGCCAATTAATTAACCATGGAATAATGTTAGGTATCATAAAAAAAAATATCATGAAAATGATCATGAAAAATTTTCCACCATTAAATTACACATATAAAAAAACACTACACACTAATTAAGGGATAAAAAATCTTCATAAAATATGTCATGATATTTTTTTCACGATCCCTAATATTACTCAGTAAATAATGGCAATAGAGAATAAGTAGCACAAAAAATTGATCAATATATTATTACTATCTTTCCTTCTTTGAGTCTATCCACCTCTTTGGACCTAACCCAATCCACTTCACCCTTCCTTCCTTTTATCAACATCACCCGTTCGTTGTTCACACACTCTCATACTTCAATGTTGACCTCGTGCGTATCCTTTTCATACAAAAAAATGCTAGACAGACCCCCAAAAACTAAACTGCAACAATTTTTTCTTTTCTTTTCTTTTTTTTTCCCACCTCACAATCCAAAGAGAGTATTAGGATGGTTGGAAAACTCCACTTTTTAGTTAAAAAAAAAAATAAAAAAGTTGCTACAAAAATTTAATTTATTCTTATTATTTTTTTTATACATCTTGTCATAAAAAAAATTACTAAAAATAATCAATTCATAAACCACCCATTAATTGAGTCTTTAAATTTTCAAATTTTGTTTAATATTTTAACATTATAAGGCTATATTTTGAGTTATTTAGGAAATTAGTCATTTTAATTAGTTTTTAAAAATTTTACGAAAAGACATATAAAAAAATAGTGAAAAAAATTAATTTTTTTTAGCAACTTTGTAATTTTTTTTTAACTATTTCAGCATATTGCCAAAATAAGCCTATATATAAGACTTTAGGTTAAAAATATAAAATACCGGTTAATCAACATAAGATTTTTCTCACATCCTTGAATTAATGAAGGACATGAAAATTTACATGATAAAGTGTATATTTATTAAAAAATCCAAAATACACCAAATTAAAAAATTATGACATCATATATGTCATGTTTAAAATCATGATGTTGATTTTCAGAGACTTGTTTTAGAAATTTTTTCTAAAAAATTAAAAATTAATTTAGTGAAAGAAATAAAGAAATAAAAATATTTATCATTTGGGAACAGGTTAATTTAATAATTTTTTTGTTATTTGTCTAAAATATGAGCTAAAAAAAACTAGTAGATTTGGGATGACTTTTTGGCTTTTTACGAAAAGATGTGCAAAAAGTAGAGAAAAAATAGAATCTTTGACTTTTTTGTATATATGGGTTGTTCACTTTTTGACTAATTTAGTAACTTTTTGACTTTTTGACTAAAAAGAAGGGTTCCCAAACGAGACCTAGTTTTATCTTATGGAGGCAAAAAATAATTTTAAGAAATTTAAAATTATATTTTTTATGTTTATTTTCATCGAACTAGTTTTTATTTTTTCAAAAAAAAAATTCTGAATTTTTTTTTTGAAACAAAAAACAAGCATGGCCAAATTATCCAATTTTAAAAAATTTATCTAAAATTTTATAGAGAAATATCAATTTACAATTTGAATTCATTTTATACTTAGACTTTTTTACATTGCACTATTTCAATTTCTACCATACAAATTAACCAAAAAATATATGGATAATATTTTTTGGACAATAGCATTTGTGTGTGTACACGTGCCTTTTCTTTTTATTTTTTGAAAAATTTACCCATAAGTCCTAGTTTTTGAAACATTGAACCATTTAGTCCTAAAAGTTTTCTTATGCTCCATTTAGTCCCATTTTTACATCAACATGATGTGAATGATGTAAATGATCTGATGTTTCATTCTATAATTTCAAAATTTATTGAAATCTGATGAACATTAGATGTTTTTCATCCTATATTTTCAAACATTATTGAAATTTGATGAACATTAGATGTTTTTGATTTTTTTTTTTGAAACAAAAAACAAACATGGCCAAATTATCCAATTTTAAAAAATTTATCCAAAATTTTATAGAGAAATATCAATTTACAATTTGAATTCATTTTATACTTAGACTTTACATTACACTATTTCAATTTCTACCATACAAATTATCCAAAAAATATATGGATAATATTTTTTGGACAATAGCATTTGTGTGTGTACACGTGGCTTTTCTTTTTATTTTTTTAACATTTTGTTGTATGCCATTAAATTTGGATCATGAAATTTTCATCTTTGATTGATACTAGCCCATTTTGAAATCCCACAAAGGGATCTTGCACTTGTTCTTTCTCATCCAAAATTTAAAAATGAAAAATAGGTGAATTAAAACTTGCACCACTAAAATGAGAGGGAAATAGCGTTAGAATTTTGAGCACGTCCAAGATTCTATCCGACACCTTATTCAAAAAAATTAAAATAAAAAATAAATAAATTGAAATTTGAGCCACTTTTGCAATGAATAACTAATTATTAATTTTCTGAACTTATAATTTTTCTTAGAGTACCATAATTTTTGTGGCCACAATGACTCAAAATTGTTAAAACGATGTCGTTTTGACATGTTTTACATCCAAAATGACATCGTTTTGACAATTTTAAACCATTATAACCCTCAAACATTTTCCTTTATGAACCACCAAATCACTGACGATGACATGAGAATAAACAATTGAGGAAAATAGTACTAATACTAAATCCAAATATGTGAACATAACAGAATTCATACTAATCCAAATATGTGAACATAACAGAATTCTTCAAACTCTTCATTTCGTTTCAATAAAAATTAAACTTTAAAAAAATAAAATAAAATAAAATAAAAAATATTCCTACAATCAATCAAACAACAAAACTTCAAATTTCACAGTCAAATTGAGAATTTATGTACAGTAAAGAGAGAAACAAGTACCACCAAACCGAACAGATCTATCATCAAATTGGAGTCGTAGTATCAAAAAAATTCAACACCACTTTCTAACAAGTCACCAATACAGTCATCATCATCATCACCACAATCGTATACAGATCCAATCACAAGAAGCAATTGATCTTCTAGATATCTCTGCAACAGCCTCACTTCACCGCCATCACTGCCGCCGTGGTATTCGGCCGGAGTAGTTGATTTCAGGAGGCTGCGCCGCCGCCGCCGGAGGAGGCGGAAGAGGCGGATGCAGACTTCGGCGGCGCAGAGGATGGGGAAGGTGGCGCAGAGGAAAGGGAGGAGGAAAGGGCAGCAGAGGGCGAGGAGGAGGTATCGTCTGCGGAGAGTACACAGGCAGGAAATTAGGACCATTGCTGCCGATGCGATCGTGGCCGTCGGATCATCGTCACCGTCATCGTCGTCCCAGATGATCAACAAGGCCTCTTGATGATGATGATGGTGATCTATTTTCTCTCTTTCTTTGCCCCAACGCAGCCATTCTCACATGAGTTCCTTGCTTCTTCGTTCATAAATAATAAGGTGTGGCCCATTAGTGTGACTTTTATAATACTACTAATTTCACTACCTTCTGAAATAGTGACTGATTTCTAACGCAACAATGTCATTTATCACAAAAAAAATGTGTTTGTCAAAATAATTAGGAAATTTGGAAGAAAGGCTGAGGGCTATTTTAGAAAGTTGGCTTTTAGTTACTTTTTTTAGTTTGTAGTAAAAGTTAAAAGTTGATTTTTTTGTCTTTTTTTTCATTTGGGAAGTTGGTTTTTAGCCAACGGTGAAATTATAATTTTACCCTCATGGGTCAAAATGTGTTACATAGGTGATGTTGTAAATATTTTAAATAAATGAGGATAGTTTGGTCATTTTATTATGATTTGACATTATAAACAAACATTAATAAAAAAAGTCAAAAGTCACTTTTTACCAACTTCTCAAATCATTTGTCTAAAAAAACCAAAAATTTGATTAAAAGTCAAAAAATCACTTTTTACTATCTTTCCAAAATAAGCCTGAGTCGACCAGTCTAAATCGTGATTTCATGATTATTTTTGTGGAATATTTTTCTGGAAAAATGCCTTATACCCCCACTGGGGGTCGACCCCCAGTGAGGTGGAGGCCCGTGATTGGGCGGAAAAAAATTATTATTATTTTTTTTTTTTGGACTGTCAGCCAGTGGGGGCGCGCCACCTCACTGGGGGTGCGACCCCTACTGGGGTATTTAGCATGGTTGATTTTTCTGGAGTACTAGCCTCTCTTGTTTATCAATAGTTATTTAAATATTTTAAATTTAAGCAGATAAATATTTAATTTATTAATTTAACTTGTTAACTTATTTATGTATATGAATGAATCTCTTAATTTAAGAATGAAGTGGTGTGACATTTCTTTTTAAAGTTTTAAAATTATCATAGAAAAATAATTATTTTCATGTTTAAATTAGTTTTTAGACCACACATTAACAAAAATGAGTTATATTTAAATCAACTATAAGAGTAAATATGTAAACAAAGTTAACTAACACTTGTGTTGGAGTTGGTTCAAATTCATGATATAGTGGGTTCGTATTTCAACTAGTTACGTCTAATTCTATAGAGATTACTTCAAATTTTCAAGAGGTGCTTATAGATTTGGATATTATTTATTACTTGTTGATCCATGGTTATTGTCTCTTAACTTTCTATCTTCATTCGTTAATTATAAATATGGAATCACGAATCTTCTATATAAAGGGTAGTTCATTTGTGTAGTAAGAAGATAAAAAGGAAAGAAGAATTATAAAATGTGTGACTAAGGTGTGTATGGTGTGAGTTACATGGTATGATGATGCTTGGGCACTCATGAAAGGAAAGAAGAATTATAAAATGTGTGCCTAAGGTGTGTATGGTGTGATTTATATGGTTTGATACTGCTTGGGCGCTCATGGAGTGTACGCAAGGAGTTTTAAGTGTAAAGGAGGCATATGGGCTTCCCATGGTTCATAGGGACCTGAGGGTAAGAAGGTTGTCGACACAACAGAGCAAGGAAACGAATTTGTTGTACGGTTTAGTCTCTTGTGTTCTTATGCTATGATATATTCTATGAGTTTATATATACCCTTTTTAGTTTATGTGAAAAATTGGTGTACATAGATTTTAATTTTATTCACATTACAGCCTTCATCACAACTCACCTTATTTTATCATTAACTTGGTAAATTCTCCCTCTATCTCCTTTTGATTCCATTAGGAAAATCGAATGAGTGGAGATAGGTGGTGTAGGGGTTGGGGGTTGGTGAGGTGGTAATTGTTAGGTATACCTTCTTATTAGAATATGAGATCCAATTGGTTTATTAAAATAATTTAATTTGGTTTAGTGTTGGTTATAATATTCTAACCTTTGGAGGCCCAATGGGTGTTTTATAATCAATTTGGTCGTAATTATGATTTTGATAAAAATTCCAAGATAAAACAATAGTTTATTGGGATTTGTTATCTTGGAAAAGTGTTGCGGCTGCTATGCTACAAATTGATCACTTCGATGGGTTTTGTTCTTGAAGCACTGTTTGGAGCTTTGTTGTTGACGACTTCAACTCAGAAGGTGTTGGTTTGGATTCGTTATTTTGGATTTTCTACAATCTGTTTCGAAGATTTTTGTTCGTCTATTTAGTGAGGTCTTTTCTCTTGATTATTTGTGATTATTTGAAATTTACATAAGAGTGGTTTTGTGAGACAATTCGTGTCTCGTTTGTAATCGTTTGAAAACTCTTTGGTTAATAATGGAATCGGATTTCAATCCCGTAGACATACCTCACATTGAGGGAACCACGTAAAAATTCTTATGTTGTCATTAATTTAATTTTTTCGCATTAGTTTTTATTCTTATTGATTAATTTACTTGTGATAAATCATATATTTTCCCTAACAACTGGTATTCGAGTTTACGATTTATTTGGATTTATTATTTATGAAAATCAATGAAGGGAAATGTGAATCGTATGTCTAGCTTCAATGGAAGCAATTGGTTAACTTGAAAAATTAAAATGAATGATCTATTATTTTGTAAAGATTTGTATGGGCCTATTGAGGATGATAATGGTAGGCAAACCCGAGGGTATAAAAGATGATAAATGGAAGAGGCTTAATCGAAAAGCCGTTGGTGTTATCCATCAATGGATCGATGACAGTGTATTTCATCATGTTGCTACTGAAACTTTGGCACGTGATTTATGAAAAAAATTAGAAAATCTTTATGACAGAAAATCAGCCACAAATGCTTTTCTGTTTCGAAAGTTGGTTAATTTAAAATATAAAGATGGTAGCCATATTCCAGAACATTTGAATGAAATAAAAAGTTTATTGTTAACGAACTTGTTTCTATGAAAATTATCTCTGATGATGAGTTGTAGGCTTGTCTGAAAGTTGGGAGAATTTGGTTGTAATAGTCAGTAATTCAACGCCCAATAAAGTTGTCACAATAAGCCAAGTCACTAGTAGCTTGTTGAATGAAAAAATTAGAAGAAAATCAGCAGATTTTTCTTATTCGGAAGCATTTGTTGTGAGAGGCCGAAGCAAAACAAGGGAGATGAATAAGACTCCTTATGGTCATGATCAAAATCATGACAAATCAAGAGATGGTTCTTTTTCAGAGAAAGACATTGTGTGTCATTATTGCCATGATAAACATGAAGTGGGAATGCCAGCGGGAATGCCAAAAGCTCAAGAACAAGGAGAAAAAGCGTGACGAAAGTGTGGATAAGAAGCAAGAAGACACAACGACAATTACTGATGATGATCTCATGGTCGTTTGTGAAGATGATTGTATCAATTTTGTGAAACAATAGAGCAATTGGGTGATTGATTCTGGTGTTTTTTTTCATGTGACTTCTCACATTGATTTCTTCACTACCTACACCGAAGAAGATTATGGGTGCGTTCTAATGGGTAATGAAGGTTTGTCTAAGATTATTGGCATGGGTAATGTTTGTTTGGAAACAAATTGGGCTGCAAGTTATTGCTTAAAGATGTAAGGCATGTTCCCGACATTCGCCTCAATTTGATCTCTACCGAGAAGCTAGATGATGAAGGCTACAATAACAAATTTGGTGATGGAATATGGAAGCTCACAAAGAGTTGGTTATGACTAAATGCAAGAAAACTCACACACTTTATTCGATGCAAGGAAAAATTTGTAAAGGTATTATTAATGCACTTGAGGATAATACTTCTACCGAATTATGGCACAGGCGGCTTGGGCACATGAGCGAAAAGGGGCTACAAGTTTTGTTCAAGAAAGAGCTTTTACTCGGTTTGAAAGATACACATCTTAAAACTTGTGTTCATTGTTTGGCGACAGTGTGTTTCATCATGTTGCTACTGAAACTTCGGCACATGATTTATGAAAAAAATTAGAAAATCTTTATGACAGAAAATCAGCCACAAATGCTTTTCTGTTTCGAAAGTTGGTTAATTTAAAATATAAAGATAACAGCCATATTCCAGAACATTTGAATGAAATAAAAAGTATATTGTTAACGAACTTGTTTCTATGAAAATTATCTCTGATGATGAGTTGTAGGCTTGTCTGAAAGTTGGGAGAATTTGGTTGTAATAGTTAGTAATTCAACGCCCAATAAAGTTGTCACAATAAGCTAAGTCACTAGTAGCTTGTTGAATGAAGAAACTAGAAGAAAATTAGCAGATTTTTCTTATTCGGAAGCATTTGTTGTGAGAAGCCGAAGCAAAACAAGGGAGATGAGTAAGACTTCTTATGGTCGTGATCAAAATTATGACAAATCAAGAGATGGTTCTTTTTCAGAGAAAAACATTGAGTGTCATTATTGCCATGATAAACATGAAGTGGGAATTCGGATGCATTTGTTGTAGCCGAAAGCTCAAGAACAAGGAAAAAAGGCGTGACGAAAGTGTGGATACGAAGCAAGAAGACACAGCGACAATTACTGATGGTGATCTCATGGTCGTTTGTGAAGATGATTGTATCAATTTTGTGAAACAATAAAGCAATTGGGTGATTGATTCTGGTGTTTTTTTTCATGTGACTTCTCACATTGATTTCTTCACTACCTACATCGAAGAAGATTATGGGTGCGTTCTAATGGGTAATGAAGGTTTGTCCAAGATTATTGGCATGGGTAATGTTTGTTTGGAAACAAATTTGGGCTGCAAGTTATTGCTTAAAGATGTGAGGCATGTTCCCGACATTCGTCTCAATTTGATCTCTACCGGGAAGCTAGATGATGAAGGTTACAACAACAAATTTGGTGATGGAATATGGAAGCTCACAAAGAGTTGGTTGTGGCTAAATGCAAGAAGACTCACACATTTTATTCGATGTAAGGAAAAATTTGTAAAGGTATTATTAATGCACTTGAGGATAATACTTCTACCGAATTATGGCACAGGCGGCTTGGGCACATGAGCGAAAAGGGGCTACAAGTTTTGTTCAAGAAAGAGCTTTTACTCGGTTTGAAAGATACACATCTTAAAACTTGTGTTCATTGTTTGGCGGGTAAACAACATAGAGTTTCTTTTTATAAAAATGTTGCTTCTA